GGGACGATTAATCGCGATTAATCGGACGACTTGTAATCATTGCACTTTTGTGAAAGAAAATTCAATTGCCTAGGAAAATGCTGACTTTATACAAAGTTACAAACCAGTACAAGTTGCTGACAACTACCAGAAAGCTTGCTAAGGAGCTAAATCTTGAAAACTAGCATAAAGTTAACTGAAAACAACCAAATAGCCCGCAAAGTCATGCGGATAGATTTGGAAATACAGTTGCATTAGCTATAAAACCCTAATGCCACTACTTTTGATTGGCAATCTGGTTGTATTAGTTAAATAACTAGAAGGTTCAGATTCTCTCAATTAATGAAATAACTTCCCAATGTTTCTTGTTCCCCTACTATATTAGTACCACTGAGATCTGCTGAGACACATAGATATGTTATCTATGTAGATATAGATTCCAAACATAATCCAATGCAAGCCATGCATTTCATTTTAAACACGGTTTTACAGGGTAAACCAGAACATCCAACCCAGCCTCTCTATGCCAGCATGCCATTTAAACCCCCCCTGTTTCAAAGGCGTTGCCTAGGCGTCTAAGCGGACTCGCCTAGACTGCTGGACGCCTGGTTGTCTTTGAAACCATGAAAAATCCAAACCATTTTAACCACTTGCTACAAGAAATTAAGATGCCTTTTATTTTGAATATAGAATAAGTTATTGACCTAGTATTTGATGATATATACAACTCCATTTTAGACATAAACATACAAATGTAGTATGTAGATGGAATCTGTGTGGGACCGGAAGCTAGTCTGTTAGTATTACAATTCACAAATGTGAAACATTCAAATTTAACCAAAGGGCGTACCCAGCGCAGAGAGCTCCCGCTCTGTGCGGGGTCTGGGGAAGGGTGTCAGTGGCAAGCCTTACCCTCGCCTGTGCAATGCGAGGAGACCGCAACTCGAACCCGGGACCTTCCGGTCACAGGCGATAAGACTCTACCGCTTGCACCAGGCCCGCCGTTCAAATTTAACCAAACAGAGGACAAAAAAATTACAAGGTACAGAATTAATAATAAAGATAAATACTAGAAAAGGTAGATAAAGAATACTAGAACACCAGGACCACATGAAATGTACTTAAATAGTGCAGATAAATGAAAAAAAAAGGTTACAAACCTTGAATTTGCTCTTATCGTTTGAGTGAACACGACAAACTAGCCCCATTTTAGCTTGTTTTTCAGTTATGTCCACAGAATAGAAATGGGCCGATTGCTTTTCCACCTGGCCACATGTGACAATTAAGCATTTACTTATTAAAAAGGAAAAAGGAACATTGCGGACAGCTGCTGCCAACCTTTCTCTGCACTGAGTTTCCTAGCTGGAGTTGAGAAACCATAACCGACCCATTCAATGCCTCCTCCAAAACTGTTGCTGAAACAGTTGTTTTAATTGGCACACCAAGCTTACTGCATGTATTGTGCACGCACAAAAAGCTTCACACAACAGCACAACGCAAACTAGCAAAGAATTGAAGAAATACTGCATCATTTACAAACTTTACCTAAAAAGAGCTGCAAACACCGTGTTTACAGTATTGAGACTCGATAGGTCCAGCTCCAATTCCTGACTATCGGATTCGATTGCCTGAAGAAAATGCAAGTGTCATAAAATATTAAAGTAAGGACCATAATACACCAATTATCTGTGTCAATTACATCAAATCCTGATGTATCGTACTGCCGCCTCTTATCTGGATCTGACAGGATGTTGTAGGAGAATGTGACTTCCTGGAACTTGTCTGATGCAATAGGGTCATCACCATTCTTGTCCGGATGGTACCTGCCGCAATTCACCAGGAAACACCAAAATGAGTGATATCCTAAACCAGGCTACTGCTACCAGCCCAATCAATGTTCAGACAAAAATGGTTCGCAAGTCACAAAGAGGAAGGGGAAACCAAAAGTGCTCAAACATAACTGGAAACCTCACTAAAAAAGTGCACACGCAACATACGCGACAGAATTCGCCAAAACTGTGCCTGTTTTGGCACAAAATTTGAACACCAAAATCATCACGGGGCGAGGAAAACAACAACAAAAGCAGCACAGGTGCGGAGGAGGTTGGATCTGAGCGGAGAGGTGGCGGCCTTACTTGAGCGCCATGCGTCGGAACGCACTCTTGATCTCCTGGTCGGTGGCGGTGCGGCCCACCCCGAGCACCTCGTACGGGTCCCTCCTCTGCGCCGCTCCACCCGCCGCCCCAGCCGCCGCGGAGGCGGAGTCGCCCTTCTCCGACTTGAACGACCCGAACCTCGACCCCGCCATGGCCACCCCTCGTCCTACTTCTCAGCAAGCTGAAGCAACCCGCCACCGAAACAGAAACTCACGGCACAACAGCCAACGCACACTCGGATCTCGCCGCGGTGGGGCGTCCAAAATCACGGACTCCCGCCCGCGGCGGCTGCAACGGAGCCTACAGCAGCCTCATGAACCTCCTTCCCTCGCCCGGACGGAGCCGTGGCGGCGATCGCGAGCGCTCAACTAGTCGTTGAGTCCGAGGGACGGGAGGCCAGCCACGCGACGTGAGGTGGCCGGCTAGATCGAAGAGGACGGCCGGGTGAGGGAGGTGCGGGGGGAGGTGGCATATTAGGTGTACCTCGTGGCGGGTCCCGCGGCGCAGTGGGCGTTGGTGGTAGGCACCGCCGCGCTGGGCCTGCGCCTTGTTCACTTTAAATTTTTTCAACTCGTGGCGGGTCCCTTATTTCGACAAATATCGTCGGCGCAGTGGGGCGATTGGTCTCGGATTTTCAACTAAACCGCACCGCCGCGCTTTAATACCTGGTAAATAGTGAGCTCCGCCGCCGGGGAAAACGAATTTGGGCATCTAGTGAGCTCCGCCGGGGACGAAGGACGGCCCGGATCCGCTGAGCGGGCTTGGAGGTTAAACCCTAGCCGTAGGATGCGGCTTTGGTCGGAGGACCCGCTGCCATGCACGTGAATGGCAGTTGGGCCACTGTTTTGTGGGGCTCGTGTGTCAGTATCTAGAACTACCGGACAACTTTGTAGCAGCTGCTGCTGTTGCCTTCGCTCTGGTGCGGCCTGCGGGGCCAAGATGGCTGGTGGATGATGACAAGTGGATTCGGAGTGCTTGGATTTAGCAAGTGGGCCACACAGGCAGCGACAACCCCCACCAAGTTGCGATCGCATACTACCGTATGATCTTTTTGTTTACGTGGAGTGTAATTCTGTATAAGCAATCAAGGAAAAGGATATTGCAGTTGCAGTTCTTTGTTTATCACTTGCCGTTGTCAGCACTTGCCCGGTTGCAGTGCACCTGACCTGCATTTCACGATTCTTGAGAAACAGACAGGAGCAAACAAAAAGAAAAGACCCCCTCCAAAAGAAAATGAAAAGAAAAGTCAGAGTAGAGCTAAAGCACCACCTTGTGTGGTTGTGTCATTTACTTTTATTCCTCAGAAATTCTGAAGATTCAGAATTGCAAGTATATATAGCACTATAAAAATACCATCTCACATGTGATCTAACAGCACTTTCTTCGGTTCTTTTCTTTTCTTTTTTCTGTTGATGCTATGTTCAACACTCGAAGCAAAGATGATAGCTGTTGATCATGGTTCATGAGTGTCGAAAGATGCACCCCAAAATACAAAGCAATGGTTACTTCTCAGAGAAAGGTCAAAAAGTGATAAAGACTCTCACACCAGATGCTCCCAGTAACAGAAGGCTCCCAGGTTTAACCTGTGAGAGTCCATTTCATTACAACCCAACCAAACTAGCAACTGCCACCCATGGTGCCGGTAGTTAAACTTCATGTGAGCATGAAGGAAGCCGCCGACCACTCAGATCACATGGCAGCATGCAGCATGGTATGGTACATTGCTCTGCTTCAGTCCAAAGCATTATGCAACAAATGCGCATCAAGGGTCCACATCTTCTACATCCAATGATCCAAAGCTCCCAGGTTTACACAGTTGAACTCAAGTGCAGACGTCCTTTTCAATCAAGTGGAGCGGTAGCATTCAGCTAAGTTTGCACCGATTGTGATAGAGCATTTGCCGAATCAAACAGAGCAGAGCCTTTTGAACGCTCTCAGCTGCTGCCTGCTCTGGAAATCACAAGCCATCTGATTGGGTCACAAGAGATCGCGTGCATTAGAAAGTTGAGGGGACCATGTGCATACAATTGGTTAGTTGGCACTCTTCATTGTTTTCTCCAATCTGTAACCAATGTGACAGGGTGAAACCATGCATTCTGTTTCTCCTTAAACTGAATAATGGCATATAAAAGCGCCATGCCACATAAATTACTTTATCAGTAGTACTGTGGGGAGGTTCGTGAACCTCTTCTCAAAACAACAATAGCCATTAATGGTGCCTAAACAGCAACAGAACATGTCAGGACTGGTTCACTACATTGTCACAATAATTAGGTATGAACTTTCAAATTGTCATGGGTGCATTTGCCACAAATGACAAGTTTCAGCATAAGAAAACAGCTAAAGCAAAGGATATATAATTTTCCTTCTACAATGTCTACAATAGAAAAAAAATAGACCATACTTCCCAAACACTGATAACTCAACAAAGTCAAACCACATGACTAAGAAAAACTCATCAAATAAAGCATTAGGCAAAAGCTAAAGTCCACATTGTAAAAAGCTCAGTTCCTTTTCATCAAAGTCCTTTTAGAATGCATAATTTGGGACTACCATTACTGAACAATATGCTAGTATTGAGTTATCCCTTTCAAAAAGCTAGTATTGAGTTAACCTATTCCATACCAAAGCTCATGCCTATATTAGTCTACCTCCATAAGTTCAGTAGTGCATTAGAAGTGTTACACTTGAAAAATATCAATATTGAACAACCAGGACGTGTTCAGTTTTGTAAGAAAAGCAAGCAGAGTATACAAGTGAATGAACCATGAAAATCAGCTCACAGTAACACCGTCAATATTTGACTTGAGATATAAAGTTTTCAAAATGTTTCATCGGTGGAGCAAGTTTGTTAGTCACAAACCTTCACTGTTTCTGAAGCTTTTCTCCAATACAACAGTAACCTGCTAGAGGACAGGCAGCATTGGAACTCTTGCTTTTATCACTTCCCACCTTTTTGGTACATGACTGACAAAGCTTCCCATGAGTTACAAAAAGACAATTCAAATCAAACTTCAGATCATCAGGAATCTTATTATTTAGATGAATGTAGGCCTTCTCCCTGCTAGCTGTTGCAGGAACCCAACCCATAGCCTTTGTAATGCGGAGTACCTATTTGCCCAAAAAAATTATTTGTGTTAAAAATACATGATGCACATTGAGCTAGTGTCTAGATTCTATGTGACAACGACAAATGAATATTTGCGTACATGAGTATCCACTGGAAAATCATCCTTCTGTAGATAGAACATCAGCACACATGCCACCTGTTGTAAGATTCATATATTAAATAAGGCATCAATATGTGCTTGCTTACTCCAGCAGCCTACAACGACAGCAAGTCATCCAACTAAAAACGAAGCATTAAACGACTAATTAAACAACATAACCAGATTGTAGATGATACATGTGTGTGAATAGACCATTTTCATTGCTTTGAATAAGGATATCAAGTTCCCTCAATATCAGCCACTAAACTCTAATACACTGAAACTGGCAATCTCCAGTGACTGTTCACTGTTGTAACTAAAATAATTAAGAATAAAAAATTGAAATAACATCGTATCTCATAAAGGAAGGGCGGGCCTGGTGCAAGCGGTAGAGTCTTACCGCCTGTGACCGGAAGGTCCCGGGTTCGAGTCGCGGTCTCCTTGCATTGCACAGGCGAGGGTAAGGCTTGCTACTGACACCCTTCCCCAGACCCCGCACAGAGTGGGAGCTCTCTGCACTGGGTACGCCCTTTTTTATCGTATCTCATAAAGAAACCTAGATTAAGTTATACGTCACTAGCGAATAACTCTCACTCACCTGTTTTGCTAGCCATTCATTGCAAGACAAAATTGATTGTTGGTGGCAACCACCAGGCCGACGAATAGGTGCTCAACCAATAAAGACATGGTTTGTTTCCATCAAGGCATAAGATTACTGTCCCTTATCTTGAAACAAGAAATTTACTATTTTTTGCCAGCAAGCATTTCGATAACAAGAAGAGGTGGTACCCCAATGCATATTTGCAGCTTTCACTGGAAACATGAAACTCTAGCTGCATACACCCAAAAAGAAGATGAAAAGAAAAGCAGCCTAACAGGAACATCCTGCATTTCCCTTTCCCTTTCATCACTATCACATGCCTCGCATGACTCACCAGCTAACGATTGTTGTGCAAACTAAAACAACCTCTTGTTAACAATGGACTGATGGAGCAATACCTCCAAAGGATGACACTGACAACTCCAGCCGTTGTAGTTAATGTTAGTTAAGAACAAACAGTTCCCAAAAAAAAATGTACTCCAACTTAAGGACCTAGGACAAGCTACACCCTCAGCAACAAGCTTTTGGTCACCTGTTTCTGTTGGGCATTCATTGCAAGACGAAACTGGTTGTCGGTGACCACCACCAGCCACATCAATATTTGAGTGAAACCAGTCTAAACATAAACCGCTTCCATCAAGGAGCACGGCTTGTTCTTTTTTATGAAAGACTTACTTCTTCCTTTAAGCACATTTGCACACATTTCAATCATATAAAAAAAATGGGAACTTGTTAAACATGGCATCAGAACTCCTATGCACATTTGCAGTCCTCACAAACAAAAAATCTAGTTAAGGTAAATGCACAGAGAAAAGCTCAACAAAAACCCCGCCTTGCCCTTAAATCGCCATATGGTGCCTCTCATCAAACTGTCGTTCATTCAAATTTCAAGGCTGAACAACCTCTCACCCAGCCCTCCTTTTTTTTACAACAAATCAAAAGCAATGCCTTTACTTCACCGTGGTCCATCCATGGCATGCATCGACAGTTGCAGAACTCCAACAACCTGAACAGAAAATCACTTCATCGCTGAAAGAGGACAAGGAGGAAATCGAACTCACGGTCTTTGGTCCAATCCCTTTGAACCGCGAGAGCTCCTTCTTCACCTCATCCACCGACAGCTCCCGCAGGTACTCGAGGCAAATATTGCCCCTCCGCTCCCTCACGTCCCTCAGCATGGCCCGTATCCTGGCCGCCTTCGTCGCCGCCAGGCCGCCGCACCGGATGGCGTCCTCCAGCCTCTTCCCCTCCTCATCCACCACCTCCAGAACGAAACAAATAGGAATAGAAGGAAGGGAGTGAGTTTAGACCCCGGGAGTTTGTAGAAGCTTCTGGAAGGCACTGGTGCGCAGGCATTGACTCCATGCTAGCAGCTCACCTGGTCCCAGGAGGGGAAAGTGGCCTTGAGGGAAGCGAAGGCGCGGCGCGAGATGGCATCGGTAGTGTTCTGAGAGAGGAGGGTGATGACGAGGCCGTCAAGCACTGTGGGAGACAAAGGCTGAGGCAGAGGGTCACAGTTAGGCGAGCGGCCACCGAGGCGGAGGCGGCGGAAGGGCGCAAACTCCTCGGGGAACCCGTGGAACGCGAGGAGGGCGTCGCGGACTGCCAGGCATTGTGCCGAGGAGGGGGAGGAGTGACAAGGGTAGGGCTCCGGCGAAGTGTCGTGCCTCGCCGGTGAGGCCGGAGCCTTCCGCTTGGGCTTCCTAGGCATCGTAGAAAGATGGGTGCGGCGGCTGCCGGCCAGCGACGGCGATGCGGCAGGAGAAATGTGAGGCCTGTGCTTTTGTGATGGAATCCTAGGCCATTCTCGAAGAAATAGGTTTTGGGCCCAATAGAGAACAAACAAGACGCTAGAACGTTTTACTATTGTCGATTTGTCGTATTTTCCTCCTCATCAAACTCTAAAACCAGATATCTTATCCCTAAACTCAACGGTTCAGGTTATCTTTCTGCCCTGGTCTGGTGCGGTTTTAGAGGTGATCTTGTTTTTTTAGCTAAAAGATCGATAAATACTTGGTAAAGTTTTAAAATCACAAAAGATGCCTATAAATTTTTTAAATCTAAAATAAAAATTCGAGATGGATTTGGATACGCTAATTCTAAATAAAATATTTAGAGCTCATGAAATTATCTCTAGACGCTTCAAAAAATGATTTAGCACTAGAAAAATATAAAAATATATAAAAAAATCTATAAAATTCTAAAACATTCTAATTTATGCATAAACATATTTTAAAAATTTTGCACAACAAATATATGAGATACAACTAGCATGAATGCAACATGCATTAATGTTGAATGCAGTCATGCTATACATTTGTGTTGGTTGATTATTATGTTTTATTGCTATAATTTTAAACACATTTATACATCAATTAGGATGTTTTAGGAATTTTCCATATTTTTGTAAATTTTTTTTTCATTTTTCTAGAGATAAATACATTTTTTGAAATGTCTAGAGATATTTTTATAAGATATAAATATTTTATTTAGATTTGGCATATCTAAATCCATCTCTAGCATTTTTTGGAATTTTTAAAATCGTATAGAATCAAATATTTATCTAAATTTTTAACTAAAAAATCACTTATAAAATCGCTCCAAACCAAAGCTAAGAGGTAATTTGAAGAGTTTCAAGAATTCAGGGGGTAAGATGTCTGGTTTTAGAGTTCGAGGAGAAAAATCAAACTATGAAAAATAGTTTAGGGAAGTAGAATAAACCTTTTCCTTTAGAATTTCATATGTATCCAAATAAACCTAATTCTAAATTAGCGGTCCCAAGATTTAATTACAACGAACCTTCTAACCGAGTCGTACTTATCATATGAAAGTTGTCAGAGAAACAATACACAAAAAAATTTTTATGATAAGTTTGTTCGCTGATAGTTATGAACAAATGTTGGGTTTCTCGATGGTCATGTAGATTGTAAGAGGATCTCCTCTAGATTGAGAAGGTTAGGGATTGGGAAAACAACATTTCTCATTAAAGGGGATGGCTGCTCCAGCGGATTGAGAAAAAATGCATCCCCTATATTACCTTTTTTCATTTCTACTCCCTTTTGCATATGTCCTTCTCGGCATGAAAATTCGTCTCGTGCCGGGGCACATGAGCAAGCCGGAAGGGTCTGCTCGATGGAGCAGAATCCGTTTAGCTTCAACACAGGGATGATCGATCATGCGTACTTCTTCCGAGACGTGTCAGTCAATTTGACTTTGCAATTGACAAGGAGAGAAAGCTAATCAGTAACTTAAAGCAGAACGTGCTGGTGTTGCCAAACAGATCCGAATATGTGGCTCTAAGAGCCAATACAGAAGGATATCGACTAAATAATCGATTCCAGCATACTTACAAGAATAAATCAGTTAAAGCTCAAAGAATTATGGAAGAGAATTCGGTTATCACTTCAGAATCAATATCGTTGTTTAGACAAATACTACTCAATGACAATAGGATATCAATACTAATCAGTTTATGCTAAGCCAATGATTGTAAGTAACCGAATCCTTTTTTATATAAAAGAAACAGCTCATCATCATTTAACCATTTAATAGAGGTAAATCTAATGAATATATTAGATCTCATCTATCACTATAATCAGTGAGACATGAGGCAGAATCATGCAGGCTGTAGAAACAATAATAGATTCGACGACCCTAACTTATTACTAATATCAATTGGGCATGAGGCAGAATCATGTAGGCCGTAATACAATAATAAGATCATGGGGCTAACACATCTTTTAACCTATCTTTACTTCAACGGTCTCATGATGTGAACTACATATGTGAAAACACTCGATATCAGCTAAAACAGCCGATTCAGGCATAGCGCACAAATAAAGTCATGTCCTATCAGAAACAGATCTACCAAATAACGATCCCCACTCTAAGGTGCTAACAGTGGGGTGTGAGGCAGAATCACACATGCCGTAATAACGAATCATGGAACAGTTTTTGTTAGCCAATAAATCTATTCAAGACTAGACACGCCTTAACCGCACACTATGCACGATCAAGATTGACATAAAACAACCGATAAAACATAATTTATCGTTTAAGGTACAGATTAGATCAGTTTAGATTAATAAACGATGTGTTAAACATGATATAAGGCCGATCTAGATCAATCCTAATCGGGCGAAGTGATATTGCTATAATTAAATAAATAATGAAGACAATAAGCAATATCGGTAACTTAATGAATCTATCCGAATGACGCCACCCTTAGATAGAGCCGATAACTTGACCTTAATCTAGTTTGAGTAGTGGAGGTCGACCGGATCGATGCAGCCTTACTTAAACTAAACAAGAGTCGATAACTAGCTTATACCAGAGTCGTAGTGGAGGTCGACCGGATCGATGCAGCCGTACGAACAGAAGTATAAGCCATGACGGTATTTACAGACAAGCCAGAGGTCGACTGAACCGATGCAGCCCTACTCGCTGAAGAACTTGCTGAGATCTACTCTACTCCTACTCCTATGGGGTGGTCGGAGCCGAAAAAAATAAGTAACTTGTATTTGATTGATTGTGTGTCCTTTACAATAGCTGGGGTCTAATATTTATACCCGAAACATACGCATGAATCCTACTTAAGTATGACTCATCATAATTTTGGTCTAAGAAAAAATATTTCTAATTTAAGATAACTTGGACCCTAATTTTTTCCTTTTTTAAGAGTCCAACATGTCCTTCCCGACGCCGATCGTAGCTTTTGTCGTTATCTGCTGGCGATATCTGAAGAGAGCTGATTCCAGTACTGCATCTGAATCAGCTAACACCAACCTTTACGCAATTGATTTATTGATGTTATGATCTTGGGAGCTTTCGAGTTCCTACGATTCTTCTTCCAAATTTTGGTGTAAACACATATCCCCCTAATTTTGGGATAAAAGTAATTTTATTCTAAAATTATCATGTCTGTATCCCTAATAGGTCCGCAGTCACGGGTAGAGAATCTTGATCTGGGGTCTACTGTTTATCACCGTCTATGTCAGCTTATGTGCCCATGCTTCAAAACTTTTATAAGAGCATCGTTGCTTCACAGGCACTTGGATCCATCTTTTCAGGCCAACTATAAAATGTCTATCCAACTCTGACGAGAGTAATTCAACAATTTAGCTATGTTTCTTTTCTATCAGCTTCCTCGAGTGCCTCTGACTCCGCCTGACCCTCCATGCTCTATCTTTTTGCCATGAAGATCTCGAGTGGTTAGAAGAATTCTTGTGTATAGGGTGATTGTGTCGCTCATCTTAGCGCCTTGTCGAGCAAGAGGATCAGTTACTGTGGTCAGAAAAATTCTTGTGATATCACCTGAGTCTTCTCTCCATGCTCGCAGAGCTGTTCTAGTGTTTGCAAGGGCTAAAATGTGTGGACACCTTTCCCTTGTTTGTTCCATCAAATGCCCATCGGGAAAGCCACAGGCTTCTTTCCCATAGTTTTTAGTCACCGAGAAATCAGCTGGGCATCTGTTAGGCAGGTGGCTTTTCCCCTTCTCTAGCATAATTTTATCAATGGGCCGATGTGACTCGGTTCATGATGACCTCTGGCCTTTTGGGGATCTGGACCCTCTTCAATTCAAAGAAGCCTTGGTGGGTCCATCGCTGGTCAATGTAAATCTTTTGTATCCATCCCACGATATTTTGTAATTATGGGAAGCAATAAATCCGAATCTGTTATCTTTTCGTTATTCGCCCCCTGAATTTCTAGAGTGTCGATCCGTTTCCATATCTGACTTCAATTCCACACCCCCGACGAAATCTATCTTCTCCCCTTTCCGGGCTATATATATGGGCCACGGCTGTGGATCAAAAAACATCCTGCTTTGTCTCAAACCTTTCGTGTTTTTAGTGCGGTTTCTACTTTCCCATAGGTTTGAGATCATGGAGAATAGAAAGAGGTCCGCTGAGGAGGCCCCCAATGGAGCTACGTCATCACGCCAGCGCCTTCATCACTAGGAGGGTGCAACTCATGATGTTCTCACTGCTTTGGGGCATAGGGCCAACTCCATTCAGCCTTTGAGGTTCTTTTCATCAACAACTCACCACCAGCTTCCCTGCTATCCAAGGAGGCGGGTCAACAATGATGACCTGCTCGCCTCCATCGATAGGTATGGCCAGAATCTCGCCGACTGTCTCTCCCTCATAGAATCGGCTCTAGCCATGGTCCGATGTCGGTTGCCTCCCGAGGCCGATTCGGTGGAGGATAGGTTGGCCAAGGCCGAGGCCAGAATCATGGGTGAGATATCTATCATAACTTTTGCTTCCTTTTAATTTCATCTTCAAGATTTTGATCACCCCCCTTTGAATCTTTTTAGATTTGTCCGCTCAACTAGAAAGCCTTCGATTGGCTGCGGAGTACGCGACGGGATTCATCAACGCCAGAGGCACTGTCCCGGTGGTTCGCCTGCACAACATCCTAAACTGTGTTTGGGAGGTCGCTTTGCATGGCATTCGTCATGGTGCCACCATGGCGTTGGCTGCTGCGCAAGCCCGTTCTGGCCATGAACTTCGGTTTCTTCCCCACTGTTTTCCAGCCGCGACGCGCCCTGGGGATCATGAACGCCTGGTTGAGGATTTCTTCGGCACCGCCAACTCCATAGCCTTTATTTCCTAGGCCGATGATATAGTAACCAAAGTGTTTTCCGGCCCGTAGTTTGTAATAGGTGATATTTAGCAAACAATTTCTCCGTCTTGAGTGATTTTCCTTTGC